TTTCCAGTGGATCTCTACTAGGGAACCACAGGCCTCAGCTAAGACCAGGCGTCGAGAGTAAGTGTGACAACGTGACCCAGACTCTTTGCTTCCTAATAGACCCTTCGACCAGTGACCATTTGCAAAGCTCAAGTGATACCCCTTGAAACAGAGGGACGAAGTTGTCAATAGGGAACGAAGGGCGCTTTCCTCAGAGGGGAAGCCGAAAAAGATAAGAGTCGATCGAAAGACAACGGCAGCCAAGTTGTGGCTCCTCCCAAGAGTGCTGACCCCATTTCTCAATAGCTCGGAAGTCATCCCTCCTAGGCTGGAAAGAGCCTACCAATGAGGAAGAAGTTTGGATCAAAGGGAAGTAGAGACCTCGTCCAGGGTGGAGAGTATTAGAGGTAGGTGTGGAGAGCGAGGCCAAGGGGGAGGTGGACGCAACTGGGCTGGGGCAGGGGTCCCTGATGGGGTGGAGAGAAAGGAAGACAGGTAAGAGGACACCACCAGTGCAAAGGTGGCATGAGGGGAATAAGGCACACAACAAGGTCTAGCTATTGCGAAAGAAGGGAGGGGGGGGGGGATGGCGAGGGCAAAGGTGGGGGACGGGATGAGATTACAAGCTATAGCTTTTACCCCAGTCGGAGGGGGGGAGCCACCTCTTCGAGGAAGAAGAAACCATAGAAGTTCTTCTTTTGGGGTGACGTTTAGGAAAGGGGAGATAGAATCAATGTCTAAGAGGCAAAATATCAATATTTCAAGCCAAACAAGCAATCGAATGGATAAATCTGAGTGTTCTCCTAAACAAAACCCTTACCAGGTATTCCAGAGCAAAGCTCTCTTCCTTTTGTATTTCAAAATCCCATTCATCTCCTTACAACCCTCTTCCAATCCCAATTTATAATAAGGAGCATACTGCGACTACAAGAAATCCTAATTCTACATAAAATAGAAGACCAAACGGCACCTAAAAATCCTAAAGAACCCTAAAATCCATAAAAACTTAAAAATCAGAAGAATAAACCATGAAAATCCCCCAAAAAATACATCCTTCAATTTTAATAGGAAAAATTCAAAGATAGGAGTCATTTGCTTCTACATCAATTGTTTATCAAGGGGAAAGGAAGAAAAGGGTAGAACCTATGTTGGCTGAAATCTATTAATATCTTTTATTAAATATTACATTCGATTGATCATCCTAATATTTATAATGCAGGACTTTTACATGATAAGACCTGGCTAAATAAATGCATTGTAAAATTTACTTGACAAAATATATTTGCAAGAAAAGTACATATATTCCTTATATCTTTATTGTGTTCCGATGATAATAAGACCTGGCTAAGTAGATGCTGTAAAATTTACTTGACAAAATATATTTGTAAGTAAAGTACAAATATTTTTTATATCTTTATTGTGTTCTGAAATATCATCATCATCCCAACCATTTGGGGTCGTCTACATGAATCATGTTCCGCCATTCCACTCTATCAAGGGTCATACTCTCATACAGACCATAAGTCACCATATCGATTCTCACTACTTCCATCCATGTACTTTTGGGCCTTCCACTTGCCCTTTTAGAGCCTTCCACATTAACCAAATTGCCCCTTCTAAAATGTGTTATTCTAGCTCGACATTGCACATGGTCAGCCCACTTAAGCTTACTTTCCCTTAGCTTATCACCTATTGGAGCTACCCCTAAGTTCCCTCAAACCCCTAAGTTCCCTCAGACCCCCTAAGTTCCCTTAGATATTCATTATGAATTTTATCCTTTCTTGTCTTGCCCTTCATCCATCTCAACATGATCATCTCAGCTATATTCATTATATGGATATCTTATTTCTTGACCGCCGAACATTCTGTCCCATAAAGCATCGTTGGCCTTACAGTCGTCTTATAAAACTTCATTCCCCTTCCCTTTCATTGGTATGCGACAATCACATAAAACTATGAAACCACATCTCCACTTCACCCACCCAGCTCTAATTCTATGTACAACATCTTCCTCAATCTCTTCATCTTCAAGGAATTGTATATCACTATATAATTTATAAAAATTGTATGCAATTTTTATTTTTAAAATTCTCATATATTTTATATATGGGATTGTCTACAAAGAGATCGTTTATCTTTTGTACATGGAGGTCACAAACACTCTTGTCCTTTAAAAATGGGCGATTGTAAGAGTATCATCGAATAGACACAAAATTCCAAAAACAAAACTCTTGGACTTCGTGACTCACCCCAAACCATCCAATTTGATGTCCAATGAGAGAGAATGATTGTGACCTCCATGTACAAAAGATAAATTGTCTCTTTGTAGACAATCCCTTTATATATTTGTTGCAATACTACTCCTATCATCATCATCATCATCATCATCATCCAAGCCTTATCCTAATAATTTGCAGTCAGCTATATGAATAATGCTCCTACATTCTTCTCTATCAAGGGCATACCCTCAATAAGACCAGAAATCACCATATATTTTCTTACTACCTCTATCCATGTCCTTTTAGGCCTTCCCCATGCCCTTTTAAAGCTTTCCACTTGAACCACATTGCACATCCTAACTGGCATTGTATTAGGTCTACGTTGCACATGGCCAACCCTCCTAAGTCTACTTTCCCTCATCTTATTGCCTATTGAAGCTACACCTAAGTTCGCACGTGTATATTCATTCCAGATTCTATCCCTTCTTATCTTGCCACTCATCCATCTCAACATCTTCATCTCAGCTACATTCATACTATGGATATCTTGTTTCTTGACTGCCCAATATTCTCCCTATAAAGCATGGCTAGTCCGACAGCCACCCCATAGAACTTAGCCTTCAGTCTCAATGGTATGCGGCGATCACATAAACCTCCGGATGCACATCTCCACTTCGCCCAACCCAGCTCTAATTCTATGTGCGATATATTCTCAAATCTCAATCTTTTCATTCTCTTAAATTATCGACGCTAGATATTGAAAACAATCTCTTTTAGGCATTTCTTGACCATCAATATTAACTATTTTCTCATTTCTACTCGTATTATTACAAAATTTGCATTCCATATATTCTCTCTTAGTTTGGCTAATTTTAAAAACCTTTAGATTCTAGAGCATCCCTCCAACGTTCTAACTTTGCGTTGAGGCCACCTCTAGTCTCAATCATAACTATGTTATCCGCGAACAACATACACCACGGTTCCTCATCTTGTAGGTGCCTAGTTAATTCATCCATAACCAAAACAAATAAATATAAGCTCAGCACTGACCCCTGAAGTAGGCCTATTATCACTGAGAATTCCCTTGTTTCTCAACTAGTTGTCCGCACACTAGTTAGCGCTCTCTCGTACATATCTCTCACTATGTCAATATGGCATCCAATGGCTCCTTTCGTTTCCAGTACCAACCAAATTAAATTCTAAGTACCCTATCATATGCTTTTTCTAAATCAATAAAGACCATGTGGAGGTCATTTTCCTTCGCCCTAAACTTCTCAATCAGTTGACTAAGTAAGAAAATGACTTCAATAATTGACCGCCTTGGCATAAAACTGAACTGATTTTCCGATACACTTGTTTTACGCCTTAGTTGTTGCTCAACCACTCTCTCTCACAACTTCATATTGTGGCTCATACGTTTAATCTTTCAATAGTTTATACAATTCCGTATGTCTCCTTTATTCTTGTAAATAGGTATCACAGTACTTTTTCTCCATTTGTCTAGCATTTTCTTTGTTCTCAACACCTTGTTGAACAACTTGGTAAGCCAGCATATGCCAATCTCCCCATGCATTTCCAAACCTCAATCGGGATACCATCTGGTCCTAAAGCCTTTCCTATCTTTATCTTTCTCAAAGCTTCTTTCACTTTAGATTTCATAATCTTGCGAATGTAATAATGAACTCTGCCCTCATTTATGTCAAAGGTTCATCTTAATGTTGTGTTCCCATAATATTTGTTATTTAACAATTTTTGAAAATAAATTCTCCATATTTTGTTGACCTCGTCATCTTTCACAAGGGTCAAAGGATCCTTACTCTTAATGCATCTAATATAATCTAGATCCCTACACTTCCTCTCTCTCATTTTAACTAGTTTGAAGACATCTTTTTACTTTCTATTATCCCTAGTTTATTGCACAGATTATCTATGCTTTAAGCTTAGCCTTACTATTTTTTTAGCATTTTTATATTCTTCTAAATTTTAATCATCTTCTATTACATTGCCAAGCTTTATAATAAGATCGTTTTTCGCTAATAGCCCTCTGAATCTCCTCACTTCACTGCTAGGTTTCTTTGTCGAACTTGCTTTTCCCTCTAGTTTCTCCTAAAACTTCTTTTGCCACTTTCTTAATACAGTCAACCATCTCATTCCACACAACATTAACTTCGTGCTCAGAATTTCATTTTCCTTCTTTTACCAATGCTTCGGATTCCATTTTCCTTCTTTTACCAACTTATCCCTAAATAAGTCTATATTCTCCATTTTTAAATTCCACCACCTAGTTCTTGGACGCCTATTAGTTTTACTATTTCTCATCCATCTCTTGAGGCAGACATCCATAACCACAAACCTATGATGCTCCCAAATTAGGGATCTTCTTGCTACCGACAACCCCTCAGTCATGCACCTGCTCCAACTTCCAATAACTATGTTCCGCTCTGTAGGATCTATGTCTAGCCAGACTAGCTTGGGGCATGAGTTACTCAATTCACCATTTTTACCTTTCATTAGAAGGTTTTGTTACCAATGCACCAACTGATGTAGAGACACACCCCTAAGACCATGTTTGAATGCATCAACACTTGCATAATCACATAATTTTAAAAACTATGAAATGAATTGCCCACTCCTAGAAGCACCAAAAATTTTGCCAATAATGAAGCCCTTTTGTTAAATGCACACAAATAAATCAGAAGTTGAACCATTCAGCATGTCTAAACATGAAGACCCCTATATTGAGCTCCATCCGCTTGAAAGAGATGTACAACTGAATTATAGGAGATCATTATTCACACTTACTAGGGGTTCTCTTGGGACAGAAACCACTCGAGGTGCTTCTCTAATGTATTCTTCCATTGTTACAAGAAATGATTGAGGCGGCTGCAAAAGCAAAAAAGTTGTTAATGAGCCAGTACAAACGTGACCACAATACACAAAAGCCCCCACAAATTAACAATTATGCTCCAAATAAAATAAACGCATACCTCTCGCAAAGATGGAAACTGGAAATTCCTAGCAAGTTCCAATCCTTTACAAACATCATAGAAACTAGAAAGGCTTTCAGCCTGCAAACACAAAATCACATCAAAACTATTGATATTGAAATCCAAACATATTCTTTTTTATTTCTTTGATAACTATACAAATAAAACTTAATGAATGCAAAAACAAAATCACTGTAACCTGCTGGCCAGCTCTTCTATAAATCTCTAATGCTTTCACAGCTTCATGCCTCGGCATCTCAAAAAACTGTAACAATGATAGGAGATCATGGTAAGGAGAAAGGGTAGACACTTACATGAAAAGCAACAATTAAGTATGAAAAGCCCAAATTATTGAAATCTCAATACCTTGTCAACAAGATTGATAATTCCATCGTTAATAGCACAATAAACTTTAAAGCTTTCTTTCAATACCTGAAAATTTAAAATTTATAGAAGTAATCAAGCATTTTTTTCATCCCTTGCCTCCAAGCCCCAATCAAACCAAAATTACATAACTTTTCTCCCAATAAATAAAGAAATAGATTGATGAAGACAATGACAGCGGACGGCCTAGCTCATTTTCAAGCAGTTTGCATTTATTTTCTTTCTCTTTCTTTTTTTTTCAATTATTTGCAGTTGGTGCAGGCATCTAAACTACAATTTGCCACTAATTCACTCTTTAACTTTCCCTGGATCATTAAAGTTACAAATGCAAACTTCAGAAGCACTAGAATGCTAACTAATGCATGTTACATTTAGAGCAAAGTACAAAGACAGGAAAAAATAGTAACACAATAAACTATTAATTGGTCTACAAAAATAAAGAAGACATACCAAAGCCAGGGCATGCTGTATCACATAATTCCCAACAGCTCCACCTTCAGGCTGAATAAAGAACAAGATGATAAGGAGAACCAACCCTCCATAAACAGACCAAAAAAAAGAACGTACAAACTAATACTCTCATCCTTAAACTATATATGAAACTTATGTCCTACTCCAGACTAAAGTAAGCCGCAACAGGGACCAAAAAGACTACCTGGCAACCCACAAGACGATAAAGTAATTGTTGTAAGGCAGGCATTTGCTCCAAAAGCTCCTCGCTATCAAGATCTCTCGTTCTACTATGGCCCTACAAGCAAAATGCAGCAAAATGATCAGTATACTGTAATCCAATGAACTGTACTTTATACCATAAGAGGGGAGAATAGCATATACTGTTCCTGGGAACCCCACTCTACTGAGGGGAGAATAGGACCAACTATTGGGTCATATACTGTTCCTGGGAACCCCACTCTACTTTCTTTCTCTCTTTTTTTCCCTTAAAGTAGCAGGGGTTTGTCCAGGAACCCCACCCACTGTATTAATTTGTATGAAAACTTGTTGTGAGTTATCTCCCTGAAAGCTCTTCTATATCACTCTTACATATTGACCTTACTATATTTGCTCTTTCTCACCCAACATTGATTGGGACTTTGTATTTGTCATCTTCCATGAATGATTTTTTCCTCTTGCATTCTTCGCAGGGATATCCCTTTCGAGATGCTATTTTGAATTTTCCACGTCACCTCCCTTGGTGTCCCTTGTTGTGAGTTATCTCCCTTAAAGCTTTTCTATATCACTCTTACATATTGACCTTACTATACCTTACTATATTTGCTCTCTCTCACCCAACATTGATTGGGAATTTGTATTTCTCATCTTCCATGAATGATTTTTTCCTCTTGCCTTCTTTGCAGGGATATCCCTTTCGAGATGCTATTTTGAATTTTCCACGTCACCTCCCTTGGTGTTCCTTTAATCATATGATGATCTTCTTGCACCCTCCAATTTCTTTCTTGCCATATGACCCAAATTAGGGAAGAGAGATATTCCTAAAAAATTGTCTATGGGCTTCTCTTGGAACCAATTTGTTAGGGGACTTTGGATTTTTGAAACGTCTACAGCTTCAGTGTTGAATCTTCTAGTAATAGCGTTCCAAATTTCACCCACAAAGGCGTATGTAATAAAGTTCTCATGGTCTTCAATCTCAACAAAGCATTTGTGAAATTTGGAAGGCACCCTAGTTTTGCACTCTATCCAGTTATTCAAGAAATCACAATTACAATTGGGAATCACCGATCCATAACATATTTGATGGGGACCGAACTGGTTCCTAATCAGAACCAGGAATTGTTTCCAGTCAGAGGGGCATTCTATTTTGTCAGAGAACCGGGCGATCAACCTAGATGTCATATTTGTAGTCTATACAACTGAGGAGTAGGTGTGGCGGAAGAGGAAGAGCAAGTACTATGTAAGAGGACATTTCTTGAGGCAATAGGTGAGGGAAATAAAGAAGGCGGCGATTATGAGGAAGTAAGCAGACGTGACCAGCAAACATTTGAGTAATTCGAATCAGATGTCAGTGTTTAGGTATTTGCAAGGGGAGATGGGGCAGAAGATAGGGGGGATGGGGCAGTAGATGATCATGATGCCACCCAATCCGAACTAGAAGAGTGCCTGCCTAAGCCCCAACAGCAGGAGGGTGGGGATGAGCATGAGGGGTAAACCAGCCCTAGGGACGTCGCTAAGGAGAAGGGCATTCGTCTCCCCATGAAGAACCATTCACAGAGCAGATATAGCAGTCAGAAGGTGGGCACACATCTTCCTTGGAGAACCCACAAATGTACTCCTCCAGACCACTCAACATTATGGCGACGATCGATATGACACTGATGCGAATGACTTATATGAGCCCATCTTGTTATTTATTCTTGGTCCTAGTTTGTATGTTTGGACTTGACTAATTATATTATTACCATTTGATTGATCATATGGATGTCATTATTGTTGTATATTGCAATTTAGAGAATGAAATGAATGTCTTGCACTCCAACAAGAATGAACTAGACTCTTAGTATTATGTGTTTTGGTAATAATAGCAAATCAATAATGTAATGGTCTATCTTGTCTTTGCAAACCCACATAACTCGATTTTTTCTTTTGCCCATATGGCTGAATCACAAGACCGCTGATTCACTAATCTGGATGGTCCAGGTCCGGGTCAAGGTCCAGTGACTGGCCAGTTCACCTAGGAAATCCAAGTTCTTAAACACAATATTTCAAACACAGATCATCCCGCTCAGTGTGATGGGATTTTGGATCGCCCACCCGCTGAACCAATTAGGACCAGTCGAAACTAGTGTTATAAAAAACGGATTGTTAGAGTAGATCGTACAAACACTGATCCTAAGATGGATCAATAGTTTGCCGATCAGACAGAAAAAAGAGAGAGAGAGTGAGACCGTCTTTTTCTTTCCAAAGAGGTGGAGGTTTGATTCTTCCCGTCGCAATACTTTTGTTGTTAATAGAAAAGCGTTAATAAAAAATTGAGGTACAAATACAAGCATTTAAAAGGTAACAGAGTACGAGGGTGGGGATTTGATCCCCCAACCAAGCATTTAAAGTGCCACTCAAAGCTAGCCGAGCAAGCCCTTTAACTTATATGACATGATAATGACTTTATATAATATGCTTATATGATGTGATATCGACTATTACATATTATATATTATATATCAACGAGTCGGCTAATTCCTACTCAGAATCACCATGTTCATCGATTCCAGATTCAAATCAACGTTTTTTTAATAATGGTTGAAAAGGTCGAAATTTCACAAAAAATTAATAAGAAAATAACATTAGGGGGCGGGGGAGACCAAGATTGCCCACCCGCCGAATCCAATCAGAATTGTTGATTCACAATCCAAATAGCGGGGTTTTAAAACCTTGGTTTGGGTGGAACAGACCTCCACCATACTATAATCCGAATCGGCCAAATCTGGCAATCCTAATTACCAATCTAGATCGCCCGGATCGTAGATCAAACAGAAAGTTAAAAAAGAAAAAAGCAAAAAAAAAAATGAAGAGCAAATTAAAGTGTTGTATAGATCCATCTCCTCCATTTATAATATATTTGTTTCATGGATTAAATTCTAAATCATCAAACATAATATACATGGGGAGTAATGCAAATTAGAATAGAATAGGGCCAATTTCTGCATCAAGAAGGGGACCAGTCCAGTGAGTCACTGAATTCGATCTTCATTGGTGATTCTCGATTTGGATTGGCAATCTATAAAGCCTTGGGCTGGTGTTTTAGAACAAGGATCATCTGGGTGGATCGGTCCTCCATTGGAACAATCCAAATCAGCTGAATCGACAATCCAACCCAAAATAAAAATAAATAAAATCTAAAACGAAAAGAGAGAAAAAAAGTTGCATAAATTCATAATATAAATATTTATTTGATGATTTAGAGTTTCAACCATAAATAAGTAAATGAATATTGAACACTATGAATTGAGTAAAATAGAGCCATACAGTCACGGCACCTAATAATAGGCGTTAAATTCCTTCCTCTTACTAAATAAAACCTTTCAAACCCTAATAGTTTTTCTTGTATAGACTGCTTAATACAGGGTTTTGAAAATCGTCGTTGTGGATCAGAACTGGACATTGATTGGCCCAATTCCCTCTCAAAATCGAGAGTTGGCTCGAATCTCTCTAGTTTACCTAACTCCCTATGTTTAATTTTCTTTTTAACTATTGGAACTCTAAATCATCAAACAAATATGGATTTATGTAATTTTTCACTCTTTTTCATTTTTATATTTATTTTTATTTTTTGCTAGATCACCAATTTCGCTGATCCGGATTGGTCCAATGGAGGGCAGATCCACCAAGATGATATCAGATTTAAAACACTTGCACAAGGTTTTAAAAGCCATCAATCCAGATCGAGAATTGTCGATCTGTATAGGATTCAAGACCCACTGGACCAATTCCCTCCCAGAATTAGAAATGAACCCTAACCTTTCAAAATTGCATTGTTCCCCCCAAATGTTATGTTTGTTTGATGATTTAATCATCAAATAAACATATTATAAATTAGGAAGATGTAACTATGCAACACTTTCTCTTCTTAAGTTCCTGTTCTTTCTTAACTTTTGGATAGACAGCCAATTCAGCTGACCTTGATTGCCCTATTCGGCCAAACCAGATCGGCACAATGGAGGACCAATCCACTTGGACCTAGGTTTTAAAATCTGGCAATCAGAATCACTAATCTAGATTGCAACTCAGTAGGTAGGCAATCAAGACACTTCCCCCCCCCAAAAAAAAAAAAAGCTGAATATCCAAAAAAATATTATTAATGTTTTTATTTACTGTCAACCATTTCAACCTATCTGGACAGGTACAGAGCATGGGCAATCTTAACCCAACTCCAAGTTTTAAACATTAACCTGGCCAATCAATTTTTTAAAACACTGCAATGGCCAAGTATTTTAAAAATGGCCCCAGACAAAATAGTACTAAACTAATGCTTTTTTAAAAAAAATATTATACTAAACTAATGCTTTAATATTCAAAAAAAATGAAAAAGGTCCAAAAATAAATTGGGGTAGGAATCAAGCAATTCTTCTAACAAAATTGCTTGATTCCCTAACACTCGCCATGTTCTCTCAAAGAAACCAAGTAAGCCCCTCGGACTCGAATGCATTCATAGTTCTGATAAGGAACAGGATCAGTACCTCACCGGATCTGATCCAGATTGGCCATTCATGATCCAGATCACCGCTTTGAATCCCAGAATCTATCATTGTCCATAAATTCATTGGTAGTTGATGACCCCAATAGAAGACTAAGTCGTTCGCATATAATTGGGGTAGGAATCAGACGATTCTTCTAACAAAATTGCTTGATTCCCTAACACTCGCCATGTTCTCTCAAAGAACCAAGTGAGCCCCTCGGACTCAAATGCATTCATAGTTCTGATAAGGAACTAGATCAGCACCTCACCGGATCTGATCCAGATTGGCCATTCATGATCCAGATCACCGCTTTGAAATCCCCGAATCTATCATTGTCCATAAATTCATTGGAAGTTGATGACCCCAATAGAAGACTAAGATGTTCCTAAATGTAATTATAGCACATTTTCCCATATGAACAAATCCAACATTAAAAGCGTACCTTCTCATGCCCTTCTGCAGGCTTGGTAAAACGTTCAGCTTCGACATCATACTTCAAAACTCTAAAACATTCCAGTCTTTCCTCAAGGAACAAAGCATAGGTACGAACCCAAGCAGAGCAATCCCAAGCTGCACAAGAATAATGTTTCCCAAACAATTATTAGAAGTATATCATAATTTGGCTAGCCATTCAAAAGTTATACCACTCAGCAATAGCATGGTATGTGGTACACCAAAGGGCCATCCACCATTCATTATCCATGATAGACAGCAAACATTAATCATAGCAGGACCGAATGGGAAATTCATCTCCATAGCATCGATATCTGCTGCCCATAGAGAATGGAGGGTGGACAAACTTTTATTCTACTATTTTTTTTGATGGATTATTTGAGTACCATATATATTGGTATACGTTCCTAATGAGAAATGTGACTGTAACATGATTACGAATCTGGAAAAATAGATTTGGGTACAGGAAACCAACCAATTGGACCAGAGTCATCCTTAAAATTAGATAACTGGAGTATATGGGCCCTGTGGGAGAAATTAAGCAGTTCCTCACGAAAAGTAGGGTCACCTTCCCGTAGAGTCCTATGGATAACTATGAGTGTTTTCAGTGCCACCTAAAAGATGCCAACAAACAGAAGAATGAGAATTATTTACTTATAAAATGAGAAAAAGAATAAGAAACTGAGGCCAATGATTGAAAATAAAGGTAGAATATATGGCCAAAGTGAAGAAAAAGAATCAATCCAAATACAATGGACGCATATAATCACTATATCAACATTATCTCAAACAAATAATAGTATAACAAATAGCCAATCCTTTAGAAATAATGCCAATGCCAGAGTTTCCCTATGCTGGAGTTTCCCTAAGCAAATGGAAGTAGGTCGAGTAATACCACAATCCAATGATATGATATGAAGTATACCAAAGGGGTATTCACCGCACTTTCCCAATGACAAATGGAGGAGAGGATCTATGATTGACAGAACATCCTTTGTACCCTGCTACGGTTCACCCTCAATATCAATCAGCAAAAATGGAGGCTACATATTCCCTTCAAAGTCTCAAGTATCGTATGCCAAACTCCATTGGATTATGGTACGCCTTCCCTCAGAAATATATGTTGATAGGCAGACAAGAAAACGATCAAGTCACGATAAACTGTGTTTACTAGAGAAATTTTATCAGTCCATGACCCAGCAATCAACTTCATAAAAAGTTCATTTGTGGGCTACGATATTGTTTCGACAATTGCTTAATATAACTCTATTATCTATAAAAATAAAGAGTTTATTTTTAACGAAAGATGATGAGGTCAACGAAAGGTGGAGAATCTATTTTCAAAAATTATTAAATGACGAACACAATGGGAACATAGTAATAGAAGGGACTGTTAGTACAAGCGATGGCAGAGGTAATAGATACATTTGTAAGATTAGGATGTCAGAAGTAAAAGACGCTTTGAAAAGGATAAAGATAGAAAGGCTTTAGGACCAGAAGCATGCCGATAGAGGTTTAGAAGTGCATAGGGGAAATAGACATTGACTGGCTGACGAAGCTGTTCAAGAAGGTATTGAGAATAATGAAAATGCCAGACAAATGGAGGAAAAGTATTGTGGTACCTATTTACAAGAACAAATGAGATATACAAATTGTGCAAACTATCGAGGGATCAAGCTTATGAGCCATACTATAAAGCCCTGGGAGAGAATCATTAAGCAACAACTAAGGCATGTAACGAGTGTATCTGAAAACCAATTTAGTTTTATGCCAGGAAGGTCAACAACTGAGGCAATTTTCCTACTTAGACAACTGATTGAGAAGTTTAAGGCGAAGGAAAAAGACCTCTACATGGTCTTTATTGATCTAGAGAAATCTTAAGATAGAGTACCTAGATATTTGATTTAGCGGATGTTGGAAAAGAAAGGCATCTCTAGACATTTCATCGGCTTGGTGAGAGATATATACAATGGAGCGGTAACTAGTGTACGAGCAACTAGTGGAGAGACGAGTAAGTTTTCAATGACAATAAGTTTACATTAAGGGTCAGCATTGAACTCGTAACTCTTTATCTTAGTTATGGACGACTTAACTAGGAACCTACAGGATCAGGTACCATGATGCATGTTGTTCGCAGATGACATTGTTTTGATTGATGAGACCCGAAACGGCATCAACACAAAGTTAGAACTTTGGAGGGATGCCCTAGAATCCAAATGTTTTAAAATTAGTCGGACTAAGACAGAATATATGGAGTGCAAGTTTAGTAACAATAGGAGTAGAAACGAGGAAGTAGTTAAGATTGACGGCCATGAAGTACAAAAAAGACCGCACTTTGGATACCTTGGGTCAATAATCCAAAAAAATGGAGAGATCGAGGAAGATGTAACACACAAAATTAGAGCTGAGTGGGGCGAAGTGGAGATGTGCAACAGGAATTTTATGTGATCACCGCATACCAATGAAGCTGAAGGGCAAGTTCTATAGGACAGCAGTGAGACTAGCTTTGCTCTGGAATGTTGGGCGGACAAAAAACAATATACCCATGAAATGAGTATAACAGAGATGAGGATGCTGAGATGGATGAGTGGCAAGACAAGAAGGGATAGAATTCAAAATGAAACTATTCGAGAGAATTTAAGCGTGGCACCAATAGGCGATAAAATGAGCAAGAGTAGACTTAGGTGGGCGGGCCATATGTGGCACCGACTAAGTACAGCACCTGTAAGGAGGTGCGAGTTAGTTCAAGTGGAAGGACTTAAAAAGGCAAGGGATAGGCCCAAAAGTACATAGTTGAAAGTAGTCCGAAAATATATGGGAACTTATTACCTCACTGAGGGTATGGCCTTTAATATAGTAGAATGGAGAACCAGGATTCATGCAGCTGACCCCAACTAATTGAGAGAAGGCTGAAATGATAATGATGATCTACAAAAATAAGAAGTTTATTGGGAAGGGAAAATTGACTCCAAATTGTTAGTCACTTGAATGAGCCTTAGAGTATGATAGACATGGTGGATCACCCTTACCTAGCTCGGCAAATAACCATTTCTTGGAGGTGTTAAAATGGAGGCAGGAGCTCAAAATGGGAAATGGATGCATGTGTACTTAGTCAAGGATGAAATCCCCTTGCATAGAACTTATCAGAAATCTAAACGACTAGATAATCCAAAGAACTACGCTAGTTGGGTTACACAAATACATGTTATATACAAAGACGAACACCTCCAAGTGCTTCACATGGCACTCCTATAAAACCACCAGCTACAACATTGAGACCCCACCCTCCCCAAGGAAAAGTTTTTTTTTTAAAAAAAAGGATCAAGAACTGACAACTAGGAGCAATTACATGGTTTGCTACTATTTTGGAACTTTTGTAAACAAGAGTCCAGTTGGTACCAATTCCCAGCCAGTTTGGGCTGCCTAACCCAGGGTTGTTTGTTTCCCTATGAAACATGGATCTATAAATGGTTTGGGACATGACAAGCATCTGAAACTGTAAGGGACAGTATTGGAGCAATTTGATCAGGAAGCTCAAGGGGATTTCACTAAAATGCCACATTAATGAGTTATTTTAAGCCATTCAGTCAATGGAGTGCGGTAATCCACATTGATGAGATATTTTACGCCATTCAGCCAAGTGATCACAAAACAGGTAGAACAAATGGAGTGAAGGGATGGGAGAAATGGTTAAACAAATGAAAAATCTAGATCTCTTCTCAATTGTATAGACCGTCAGGAATCGAAAGTAGTTTCAAGGTGCACCATACTTAAGGAGGTATGCAATTTTTCGTTTTTCGTTTTCGTTTCGTTTTGGGTTTGGGGTGGGTGGGTGGCGGGGGGGGTAGGCACTTGAACAAGAAATATGGGATGCAATGCATCCTAATCTTAATGAATTTAGGACACATAGATCACTAGAGATTGAGGAATTAGAGATGTTGTGATGTATTCTTTCCCATAACTTTTCATGCTAGACCACCCTTTGCAATGCAATAGGGTGGTAAAGAATAGCTAGGGGCTAAGGTCGTGGTGGTAGCACCCCACACCATAGTTACCACGTTGTGGTTTCCATTCCCACCACTAACACCACCCTACTAACACCTTCAAAAAGCTAACTCCTGATCTACTTTAAAAAACGGGTAAGCCACTGAATTACCCAAAAAAAAAAAAAGATAATAGCTAGGGGCACAAGACAACTCTGGTTTGGACGATCTTAAGTCAGCGTCGAGGTTTAATATCACGGTGAACAAAGATGTCCCATCCACACCCTCGTAAAATCGATGATTTCCTAATTCGGTCGTTATGGGTGGCTCTTTCATCCCTAAGATCCTCAAGGCAAGTTTACCAATCATTCAGTATAATAAGAACATTTGAAACTCGACTGAGTTGACTTGGTTAATTTTTCATCACAATTAACCTACTTCTATTCAGCTTGTTAGGCTCGTGACCGATGACCACGAGCCTAACAAGCTGAATAGAAGGAGTCAAACTTGACATAAGACTCAGTGAGAAGGTGAAAAAGAGAGCCTCATTGAATTGGAGGAGACATGAATGAAAAATGAACATTAATACTCCTAGGAAAAGGAAAAAGCAATTTAGGAAAAAACTGGTTTCATGTCAGTTTGGAACTTATACAATAGTATTATACACAGTTCTTTTCGATAAGGATTTTTTATACAATTAAATGTGATTTTATGGCCGTGGATTCATGTATAGCTACCTAATGTTCCCATATAGTAGATGTTAACATTAAAAATATAGAAGTACGAACACAAATCACAATGCCAACCATTTCAGGAATTAGAAGGTGGTTGAGATCAATTGACTAAGTCCTGACCTGAGTTCTAAATTATGTATATACGTAGATATATGCGCAAATATTACGATAACAATCATGAATCAAAAAGTAGACCTTTTATGAGACCATTTCTATAAAAATGCATGCATGTATCCATGGCTTCATGAATATTAAAAATATGATGTGCATGCATTGTAAACGTAGATAAGCTTAGTAAACAAACGCATAAATTGTTATATTTATGCTGTGCCAAATCATTTCAACTGTTACATAGAGTGCCGGTACCGTGCCCAGACCTATTTTGCTACCCTAAAATAAAAATCTGCATCATCACATACACTGGCACATAAAAATCACTTACATGATTCAAGTAGTGTGGGCATGAAAAAAAGCCATTTCTCAATTAGTTATCAGAAACAAACAAAAACCCAATTCTCGAAGTCATTATCAGAATGAAAAAACCAAGTGGCAATTAAGTAAGAAAAACAACACCCAATTCTCAAGTTATTATCTCTCAATTAATAACAAGAAAAGCAAAACCCAATTCTGACTAGTTATCAAGAAAAAGGCAAAAAAATAGTTCATTCACTGTAAAGATCAAGAAGCTATCAAAAATACCGTCCAGTTGTGGGTCTTGGCCAGTCGCCTAGCAAGTGCGTGTATACAGTACGCAACATCAGCCCGGGGGCGAATCACCGAAGTTGCAGCCAAAATTTCTAGAGAGAGAAATACAGGGAACCAAATAATTCAATAAGAAAAGGCAGTAGAATAAAACAGAGCATTTAGTTCAAGAAATGAAAGAAGAGGGACGGAGAGACGTCTTACTTCGCACATGTCTCTCTTTTGGGGGACATTCGACATGGTTTGTGGCTTTGACGATCGCAACGTCCACATCCTCCAATCAAAAGAATTGAAATCAGAGGGACCCAATTGAATAGAGAGAGAATGAAAGTTCCCCATCGAGAGAGAGAGGTTTCAAATACAGAGGAATCCATATCTAGAGAAAGAAAAGGACAATCAGGGGCCGGAGGAGAGGGCCAACAAGAGAGTCAAATAAAGGAACTAAAAAGTAAAGAGAGAGATTCGCAGGGGCAGCAGGAGAGAGAGATAGAGGGGGGGACTCAAATTAGAGACCCAAAATAAAAGAGAGAGAAAATAGATTCACAGGGAAAGCATGAGAGACGAGGAAATGGGATTAGAGCAACCGAAATGACAAGAGAGAGAGAGAGATACTGAAAATAGAGTAACCCAAATAAAGAGAAAAAATAACAAGAGGGAGAGACGAGGGAGAGACGAGGAAAGGGAGTACTGAACTTAGAAGAACCCGAATGAGAAGAAAGAGAAAAATAAATCACAGTAGAGAGAGAAAGAGAGCTTTTCTTAGAGAGAGAAGCGTATACCTTAAAATCGCTGTTAACCTTGGCAAGGCCAACTTTGGTGGTGTCCTTCAAAGCCCCGTAGGCCTTTCTCCATGTCTGGAGGGAACCCATCTGCCCTCCTCTTCCCCCTCTCTCGCGCCTCCTCTTCCACCGCTTTCTCCGTATATTACCCCATGAATCGCCACCATTATACCCACCCCACGCTCTTTCTTTCTCTTTTTTAGTCCTTTCACCGCTTTTCTCTCTCTATATTTTCTCTCTCTAAAGTATAAAATAAACCGAAGTTTCCCTCTCTCCATGAGCAGTTGGAGTAGAAGGTCCGCCTTTCCCACCGCATTGGGGCCCCCAATGGCTTGCTTAGGTAAGCCGCCCAATTTCCTCAGTCCCCAGTTTTATAATACTTTATTGATGAACCTATGAGGGCAAGGTTGGCAATAGACTCGGACCCGACCTCGGATTCGGTTCCGGCCTAATGATGGGTCCATAAATTGGACCCTCACAAGTAAGGTTCGGGTCCAAATTTTAGACTCAAATACTATTCGGGTGTGATCCAGGTAACCTAATATTTTTCTAATCCAGATATATAAATATATTTAAGAAAAAAATTTATATAAAGTGCACCTCAATACTCATAGAAAAGGTTGTTTGCCCCTCAATACTCATCGAAAAATTGTTTCATCATTTAAAAAACCTTCCAAATGATCATCTCCACTTCGATATGTAGGAATATGAAGGAAAAATTGAATTTCAAGTATTAATATTAGTATATCTTGTAAAATATTATCTAAAACATCTATTATCAAAATATTTGAGTGTTTATAGATTTGTTAAATCTGCAATATTTTTGTTTTTTTTTTTTTACAATGTTATTAAATCTACAATATTTTTGGAGCTTTCAATTTTATAATAGGATGAAAAATACATTTTAGGGTGATCATAAGAGTTTCAGTGCCTAAAATATATCTTATAACGAGATTTTGGGTGCACCTCACTATGACTGTTTAAGGCTAACACCTTACACAAACCTCTCCCTATATTTAAAGGGTGCCGTTTCTATAGCTAGGCTCTAAACAATCGAATTAGAGCCTACCTTCAAATAGTTGTCGAGAAATGTGGTTTCAATACTATAAATCTTTTTTATAGCCTTAAAATATATTTTCATATATATTTATAAAATTTAAAGCTTAAAAAATAGCGTAGATTGATAGATCTATGAAAACTTAAAAATCTTGAAAATTGACGATCAAAAAATGCGTTACAAAATACATTATTTCTAAAACTTCAAATCTATTTTTTTTCATGTTCATGCATCTTGATGTCGAGATGATCAATTTGAAGGTATTCGGGCATCAAAACAATCTTTTCAAGCGAAATTTTCGATGCACGCTCAATTTTGATTGTTTAGAGCCTCGGCTCTATATAAACTTTTCCCATATTTAAATATAGTTGAATAATACATAAAGGAAAAAATTTATATGAGGCTCTAAACAATCAAATTAGAGCCCACCTCAAAAACTTCACTATAAGAGGTTGTTTTGATGCTCAAATGTCCTCAAATTGATCATCTCAACATTAAAATGCATGGACATGAAAAAAAAATGGATTTCAAGTTCTGGAAATAGTACATCTTATATGTATTTTTTGACAATCAATTTTCAAGATTTTCAAGTTTTTATAGATCTGCTTAATTTACACTATTTTTTAAGCTTTAAATTTTATAACTAAATATAAAAATAAATTTTAAGGCTATCATAAAGATTTTCAGTATTGAAATCACATTTCTCGATACTATTTGAATCTGTGCTCTACTTTGATTGTTTACAGCCTCAGCTATATACAAACTACACCCATACATAAATATTGTAATTTTTAAGTCGGGTCCAAGATCCCACTATATTTTTGGGTCCACTAGATTCAAGTTTGATCGGGTTTGGGTCCCATATCATTTTTCTGATTCAGACCCATGTCAGGCGAACCCGACTCAACTCGACCCATTTCCACCCCTACTCTATTAGTACCATTGCCACCCCTACTCTACTAGTAGTTTGCGCCCTACCCTACGTACATGTCATGCATGTCAAAGGTTTTGGTGCGTGAAAAGTTTATATAAGGTTCCAACCTTAAAACCTAGAACTACAGATGCACATTAAAAAGCCATTAGTAAAAGTTGTTTTAATGTTGAAAAACTCTCTAATTGATCATCTCGATATCGAGATGTATGGCCATAAAAAAAAAAAGATTTTGAATCGCATAAATGGTGCATCTTACAACACATTGTCTAAACCATCCATTTTCAAGATTTTCATATGTTTATATACCTACTTGAATTTTAATCATTTTTTTAATTTAAAATTTTATAATTAGATTTAAAAATAGATTTTGAGATAACCTTAGAATATTTTACATCAAAATTATATGTTATGATAAAATTTAAAGGCACACCTTAAATAGATTGTTTAAGGTTGCAACCTTATAGAAACCACACCAGTATAAATAATGTAAAACTATTTCAAGATTCGAATTTAATTTTATGATGTGTTCTGTTCAACCCGGTAACCAATTTAATAAATAAATAAAAGAAACAAAATTTCAGGGGTGTATTTTCTTTAACTTGGAGACCGAACTTTCTAATAAAAAAAAAAGATAAATAAAAACACTCTCTTTCTAAGCCTAAAAATAATAATATCCCAAAGCCTAAAAGCAATAATATCCAAAATTCAAATATAGATTGTTCAGTTTTTCAACAGGCACATTTTAGCATTGAAGAAATCCAAATCCATCTTGTGTGCACATAATCATCAGGCACTTTTAAGTGGAACCTAAAACTTCATAATCTAAAAACAAAAACTCCTAGGAAGCATTTCCACATGTCACTACATGTATTAAAGTTATTATACCATGGACATTGGATTATCTTGAAATAAGAAAAAGACATTGCAGTATTCTTCACATTCTCCTTCTTGGCGAGTAGTTGCCATTATTGGCCTTTTCTCTCCTTATGTTATACGGGATTTTATAGTATTAAATCATTTATTTTTTATACAAGAATATCACAATCAACTATAGCCATTAGATGAGAAATACGACAGCTTGAGGTGTCTCATAAAGTTATGAAAGAAAATAAATTTTAAACTTTGAGCCTGGTCAAGAAAACACTCCAAGCCACTTTATTTCACATCTAACGGTCATATTTGATTGTGACATCCTTGTATGAAAAATAAATTGTGCTATGTTATATAATGAATAATGATTAATGTGTCTATATTTTTTCATTGGCATGTACAAGCCTTAAATAAGCAATTTCTCTTGCATTAAAAAACATTTTATCTCCCTCCCTCAATGAATCGCTATGTTATATAATGATTGCCTTTGTGGAAAAAACTTTTAATTCCTCAGGTTTTAGATGCATGGTTCTCTCTTTGTCCAAGCAATGGTGTTTGATCCTTCTCTCCATATGTTATACAAGGTCCATTATCTCTTTCTTCCTTGGTTTAGAGGCCTATTTTTACATTTAAGGGCAAATAAGATACTCCTTGTTTGGTTGCATAAATGGCTGATTTTATTATTGAGTTCCATAAGTAAAAATTGGTTTTTATAATTTTGTGCATGTCAGACTGTAAATATTGTAGTAGTGTTTGCCTCAATGTTTTAAAACTTGGTGATTTCCAATCTGGATCGTCGATTTCGATAGGAAACATTCTGGACTGGTCCGATTTTGGAAGGGTATGGGTCCCGACTGAGTTCTCCCTTATATATGTTTTTCTATTTCTTAAGCTTATTTAATATATTCTTAGGGCCCCTCTATATTTTTAACTTTTATCTTATGTCATTCATTTTTCTAATATTTTTTAGATTATCGATCCAAACCTGATCTGAATCACCAATCCAATGATCTGATACGGATATGTGGATGAACAATCCACCAACCAATCCATGTTTTGAAACACTATTTTGTTTTGTCCATTTTCCTCTACATGCTGTATAACTCTCTCTCCCTCTATCTCTTTCATTTATTTGAAGGAAAAAGTGTATAACTCTCTCTCGCTCTATCTCTTTCATTTATTTGAAGGAAAAAGTTTCTATAGAGTTGAGGCTCTAAACAATCAAATTAAAGTGCACCCCAAAAATTTCACTCTAAGATTTTATTTTCATGCCCAAATGTCGTCAAATTGGTCATCTCAACATCAAGCTGCATGGACATGTGAAAAAAATGGATTTCAAGTTTTGAAAATAGTGCATCTTGTAACGCATTTTTTTACCGTCAATTTTCAAGATTTTCAATTTTCATAGATTTGTTTGATCTACACTATTTTTTAGGCTTTAAGTTTTGTGATTAACGACGAAAATATATTTTAAGGCTATCACAAAGATTTTCAGTATTGAAACCACATTTCTCTACATTATTTGAACATGTGCTTTATTTTGATTGTTTAGAGCCTTGGCTTTTTAGAAACTGCACCCAAATTGAATGTACACTTAGCTACCTATGGGGCATGAAATTTTATCCGTCAAGTTATATGTTTCTCTCCCGAGTATTGATACTATGAGATCTTCCCACAGCTATGTGAGTAGGACCCTAAAGGATCACCATTAAATTTTGACATAAATCTCTAGAAAACTCATTTACCCAAGTCTTATACCTATATCACAACTTTTCTATAGATTTGTGTCAAAATTTAATGGCGATCATTTTGGGTGCTACTCACGTGGGTGTGGGAGGGTCTTATAGTGTCATTTCTCTTTTTTCCATCTCTCTCTCTTCTAAAGGCCCATAGGTTATTGCTTGTTTGGCAGTGAGCCCAACGACACTCTAATGAGTTCCATAAAAACTGAAATTTTTTGTGTATAAAGTCAAATTTTATAATTTTAGTGGAAATTTACTGAAAAGTCATGTTTTATTGTTGGAATATTTCATATTTCACACTTCAGTTCTACTTTTTAAAATATCTATGAATTTTTTTTTCTTTTTTTCCTTTATACTAGATTAAACTCAACTTTGGTATATTGATACTTCTCACTGTAACACACTTATAGATGGAGTCTTTTTGCTATTTATTATTTTTGAATTATTTTTATATATTTTTTATAGGTGCATGATGGTGAAAAGTATAAACATCCCAACTTTGAGCTTAATCCGATGTATAGGAAAATAGATCAAATTGAAATACTATTTATATTTTTAAAACTTAAATATAAAATATACTATTCTTACATTCAAAAAGTAATTTTTTACCTTCGGAAATAGAAGATCAGGGTTTTTCACACATAAGCCAGTGCGTGCAAAAAAAGTATACCAGGTAGGAAGGCGTAGCAAAGGGCCCAGGCCTTAATCCGGGAACCCGAGGGGTGGACTCGGCAAGTTGCGTTTATATCCAAATCTTGAGCACGAATACTATTTGGATCTAGATCCGATAATACTTTTCGGGAGGGGTAGAGCCGATCAGGGTTCGGGTATGAGTCAAAAAATTGGACTCGGCAAGTTGGGTCTATATCCAAATCTTAAGCACGAATACTATTTGGATCTAGATCCGATAATACTTTTCGGGAGGGGTAGACCCGATCAGGGTTCGGGTATGAGTCCAAAAATTGGATTCGGCAAGTTGGGTCTATATCCAAATCTTGAGCACGAATAGTCGAATAGTATTTGGATCTAGATCCGATAATACTTTTCGGGTTCCCATATATATATAACTTTTGTGTCAAGTTCAGTCTTACTTTTAATTTGTAGAGACAAGTCTTTGGCTCGGATCTTCTCTTGCAATCCACTCCACATTGACCATCTCTTTTATTATCACCACAGCCCTTTTCCAACGATTTGGTGCCACCAACATGAATTCTGGTCTGGTGTGCAATTTTTGTTTTCTCTCTCCGAACGAAATTGACCACTCCAAAATGAAAGAAAACCACTTCATTATTTAGCTTCAGACATTGAGTTCCTTTGCTCGTGTAAACCGTTGGGGGTTCTTTGTCCTTTCTTTTTGCTTTGCTTTAAATCATGAATGTGGCCAACATGTTTACCCAAAAAGAGTGTGGCCATCGTCATCCCACCAAGAGATTCATGATTAATTCTCCTAACTTTCTTCGAGTCGTAAGTGACCCACTTCTTTTATCATGTAAACTTCTTTGGAGCGCATAGCTTGGATTTGAACCGGACTCGGGAAATATTGGTGCCAACCAGCGCCCTCATACTTCAGTTGCATGACTTCTATTTTTTTTGACACCTTCAAAATTACTAATCGTTTTAAAAATAGATAGGGGCTTATATTCATCATTGTATTACCCAAAAAAAAAAAAAATTGGCATGGTATCCGTTCTCATTGAACTACCCAAAAAAATTAACAAGGAATTGTTTCAAAGATGGGTGGTTAAAGTAGTGGGACGCCACAATGTGATATTTTGCATTCCACTCCTACTATGGATAAAGGACTTCACAGTTGAATTACCCCAAAAAGAGAAAAAAAAGGAAAAAAAAGATGCAATCATCTTTCTTATAACACATATTGCCGACTAACCTATTAATAAGTTGCATATCCTTTCCACTATTGTTTTTTCCACGTGCGAAATCGTTGATTTCTCAATTGTCATAATTGGAGAAGCCAAATTTTCCGATGCCGTAATTGATTCTTAGTATTTCTGATACACATGTAGAATACTCAGTCATAGATAGTTTTTTTATATAGTATATAAAAATGGGAAAAATTAAAATACATATATTTTAAAAAATACTGAAAAATTAGAGGAGTAAGAAAATTTCATCTAGGATTATATCAGGAATTAAATAAACATTAAGGAATAAAACATAAAGATATAACATTAATAAAACATGAAATATAGCACTATGGCGACAAAAGAATGATATATGTTTTACATCTCAAATTCTATAGTTTGGTTATAATTAATTTTAAAAACAAAGACAAAATTATTGGGCGGTGTAGGTGGTATAACCACCAAGCCCGGAGTGAGCGACAGCCTAGGTCATGGGTATAATTCTCAAAAGTTCACTTATGTGTAATATTCAATGTTTATTATTTGTTTTATCCATAAGCCATTTTGGTAGACTGGCTTAATCTCGCTGCCTGAGTTCCTACTAACATGTTGACACTTTCACACGATCATGCTACGACACGTATTAACATATGACAACATTCCCACTAACATGTTGACACTTACACACGATCATGCATCGACACGTATTAACATATGACAACATTCCCACTAACATGTTGACACTTTCACACGATTATGCATCGACACGTATTAACATATGACAACAATATTTATGAAGTACTAGTAACACTGCCCTAGTATCTCTACTCATCCTCAATGTAGGGTGTGTTTTTACCGAGAAAGACTGCTTTGGGGTGTAATTGGAAACAAAACGTTACTGCGGCCAATGATATTGGGGCTTCATGTAGGTACTCTTTAATTAGGGGAAAAGCATAGAGATAACCTGAGTTTAAATCCTATTAGGGGTTGCTGGCAGTTTTATTTTTGTTAAAAAAAGGGATACTTCATGGCTGATTTATACTATCAATAGTTTTTTTCAAAAAAATAAAATAAAATGGCGACACTTTTAATAGAAGTGTTGACATGTAGTACACACATAGAAAAACAACAAATATGTACATGCATCGACACGTATTAACACATGACACAACAATATATATGAAATATCTCAGTAACACTGCCCCCTAGCTTCTATACTCATCCTCAATGTAGCAAAAGTTTGAATTTGGTTGTGTTTATACCGAGAAAGAATGCTTAGGGTGTAACTGGAAACAAAACATTAGTGAGGCCACTAATATTGGGGGGCTTCGTATAAGTGGGCTTTGGTTAGGGGAATCATATAAAAATAAATAACTATTTTGTATGGGAAGGTTTTTGAAGGAAATTGTGGAAGGTATGACACTGAGCATGCTCAAAGTCCAAATAATTTTTTTGAACTTTATATTACAGTCTAACCTATTAAAATTCTTATGTGCGGGTAAGGGTAATTGTGAACTTCTTTCACCAAATGTAAATTGTTTTACACAATATTTAAAAACATTAGTAAGTTAGATTGGTAATGACTAATCTTGATCAAATTAGGAGGGTGGTGATCAGGTTGATTCCCTCTTGAAATTAAGAATCAGCTAGATATAGGTAGGATCACCCAATTCAGTCAGAGACCGGGCAATTTGTCAAGAAAATAATTAGGCGATTCCAGTGCTTCCTTCTTTTTTTTCTACATTAGACATTCTCATTGTTTTTGTTCACTTCTACACCAAAAATCACAAAAATTAATTTCAAAATTTTCATTTTGAGCCCTCTTGCATTCCATACAACAGCTTTGTCTATCAAAAACCAAAATCACTGTGATTGAGAGCCTAAAATGGACCTTTTTTAAACTAAAATTCAAAATATTCAATTTCTCACTCATTTTTTCACGAAATTCCATCAAATTGTTCATACCCTATCAATCTACAATCGCCCAGCACAAAAAATTTCTAAGATTGGATTTGGGTTTTCTTTTTATCTCATTTTTCTTGCCTTTCACTATTTTATTTTATTATCCTCTGGATTTCTATCTATTTATCTCAAGAAAATGGTTTTTATTTATTTTTATCATTTTTAAACTACACCATATTTTATTGAAGGATGAAATTTCTATAAGGCCTAGGCTGTATGGAAAACCAAATAAAGCCTCACCTCACTTTTGGCAACAGAAATCTCCATGATGACTCTAAAATCAATTTCCAATACTGACAACAAATTTTGAAATTAAAAAAATCGTGCAGATCTTTAAACACTTATTTTTAAGGTGAATGAACAGTCTAGATAATTCTTTAAATTATACATTATTTTTAGAGCTTGAAATCTTAATTTATTTTTATAACCATATTGTTCAAGCCGAGATGATCGATGTAAAGGTTTTCCAATGCTTGAATTGTAATTTTTGATGAGTTATGAGGTGAGGCTTTACCTATTTTGATAGGGCTGCAGCCCTATCAACCCATTTTCCTTTATTGAATCTATGCTCCTATTAGGTGAAATCAAAAGATGAAAATTGAATTTTGTCAAATTTTGAGCTTATTTTTTTAGTTTGATTTAAATTAACTTTTGTTTTATTTATAACTATTTTATGAAATGATTGATTCTATCTTTGTAAATAGTTGATTTGTGTTTTTAAATCATTTTCAAAGACAATTTATTTAATCTCTGGTTATGTAGAAACGAAATTTCACCAAGATGATATAGTTCATCCTTTTTTTTTACCTTAAATTTTAGTTCATTTCTCTGTTTTCTACTTTTTGGCCTCTAGCATCGGCCATTTTTTCAACATTTTACTACAGTGTTTCAATCTATCATTTTCTCTCACTGCTGGACCAATTTCGACAATGTTTCATTTGGCTGTTTTTTTCCACAAATTTGGATAGATCATCGATAGATCAAAAACCAGAAATCTAAATCTATCCCTCGAGGGGCCCATTAAGATATAGATCCATTTGCAAAACACTGGTCTTATAGTATACTGTCCCATTTGTCAAAAATAAAAATTAAGGTAAAAATGCTATTCAGGTGAATCCAACAATATGGACCCACTTCTAGGCATGGCGCATCGATCCGGGTCGCGACGTGCCGGCCCAGTCGCAACCCACTCTGATCTATGCTTCTCTCCTTGGAAGAGCCGGCTTTGTAGAGTCCAAAGTGGACGGCCCTTGTTTTGAACGGTTTTTTTGTATGTCTTGTTTGGCTCTTCTCTTTACCCTCTGCTTTCCAAAACTTCACTCTCTCCTTACATCTGAGACTACCATACAAGTGTTGGAGGTTGCATCAAGGCGAAAGTTGTGCACAACTCCACCTCCTTTCGAGCTGAATCTTGCCAACTCGGTCCATGGATCTCCCCAGTCGAGCTCGACTGGTTCTTTTGTGTGTGTCAATCTTCATTTTCTTGGATGGTGTTAGCAGTATTGATATATTTCTCGATTGGAATGTCTCTTCGGATTTGACAATCGCTCCTGTTGGACAAAAGCAACTGGTAAGAAAAGAAAGGAAATGGAGAGATTCATTGAAAGAAAAGGCTTCAATGGTGATCCTAAGCTGCATTTCACCATGTATATATACTTTTAGTTAGAGGCTGAGTGCAACAATTAATGGATTTTGTAGGTTATAACCATCAATGGCATGTTTCCTGGCCCTCTCATCAACTGCACCACCAACGACTTCATCCACGTGAACATATTCAACAATCTTGATGAGCCTTTCCTCATGACATGGTACCTTTAACATCTTTTACAGCCAATGTTCAATAACAACACTTGGACTCAGGATTCGATAGGGCCCCCAGTCTGAGTTATCTGTACAGACTCAGCCGAGTCTGTACAAGTAATAATAATAGAACATAGGAACCAGCAGAGTTTGCCTGGTTCCTTATAGACTTGGCACCTTGCTGAGTCCGAGTAGGCTAGACCGAGTTTTAGAGCATTGTTTTCGGCAAGCTCCCAATGAATTGCTTGATCAAGCTCACATGGCCATGGTGTTTAAAACTTTAAAGCATTTTATATAGGGGAATGATAGAAAGTCTCATTCCGAGAACCAGAAATTTATAAGGGACAAGGGTATTTGTAAGGCCTTTTCTTTACCCAAATGAGATAAAAAATTGAATTTAGGTTACAAGTCTATATTATACCCTTCACAAATGGCAAAAGTACAACCCCCCCCAAAAAGAAAAAATCCATATTGTCTATTTTGTTTTTTTTGATAGATTGAGGACTCAAAATCTATTTTAAACCAAGCAAACCCAATTCTGCCATAGACAAATAGATTTGGAGCTCTGAAATTTTTCAAATTTAATTGATCTAGTGACTATAGATAGCAGTCAAGATGGACCGTTTTTAGGGTTTCAAACTTATTTGTTTTCATGGAATCTTGTTCTTGCATGCGGAAAGATGGATCTGCATGTTTTTTTTTTTTGTTCCTCCGCTGTACATCAAGATGGGTTCTAGTAAGATAATAAATGCAAGCCTACACATGTACATTGTAGACCACACCAAGGCATAATTTTCAAAAGACTCTTTATACTACAATGCTTGACCATCCAATTTTAAGGATGGACAGCCTACAAGCTGTTAGTACTTTTCTTGAAACCGAACAAGTACGACAGTGAGCTGTTAGTACCTTGTTTGAAACCAAACAAGTACTACCGGATGTTTTTCCTCGTCAAATTATGCTATAAGGAATTCTTTTCCTAAATATGCCCAAGTTCCTTATTCAACATGAGCAATGAATGAGAATGAAAGACATGAGTTTACAGGAATGGAATACAACAAAGGCTAAACTCTTGGCAAGATGGGGTCTCAGGAACAAACTGCCCCATCCAGCCAGGGACAAACTGGACATATGCATTTCAGACTAAGGATCAGATCGGCAGCTTCTTCTACTTCCCCTCCACCCTCTTCCAAAAGGCGGCTGGTGGATTCGGACCCATTAGAGTCAATAATCGTATCGTTATTAATGTTCCCTTTGATAAGCCTGCGGAAGAATTCGACGTCCTCATCGGAGACTGGTACTTCTACGAGTACAAGGCATGATCACTCAGCCTGTCACCTCTTAATTCCATGAACTCTCTCTAACTTGTTTTCTTTTCTTTACTATGCTGTAATTAAAACGGATTGAACCCTTGACCTCTCTAACCTAAACTGATATGCCTACCACTAAGCTAAAACTCAAGGGACACTCTTTTTCCTTCTTTTATTTTCAGACTGTGTCTTACTTTTAATACCTTATGTATTTCTATTAGCTTTCTCTTTTTCCTTTATTTATGTTTTTTGTTTTCTTGATTTTGATTTCCTTCTGCTCTGAACAGAATGCACGAGAGATTTTAAGCACTGGTAAGTATGATATGGGCCTTCCGCAGGCCATTCTTATCAATGGGAAGGCACCCTATAACAACCCATGGTCCAAAGAACATGAAATCTTCACTGTAACCCAAGGTACAACATAGATACAATTACATACTAGTCAAATAGTCATGTCGCATCCCGCACATCCAGAGAGTGGTTAATTACACAATCATAATCACCCGATTTTATACCTAGTTGTTGAGGGTGATTGTAAGTTTGTACTAAAAGTAAACAGTCTAATTGTATACTTTTTCTTTACAAACATCTGTACATCGAAAAATATGAAAAGATCCATATGGTCATACAACAACCATGATCATGTGTTTGTCACTTTGCAATCAAAGATTTGAGGGTGATGGAGAGAGATTGGTGACATACAACTAAATTATTGAGAAAGGCTGGGGCCCACCCCCCTCTATCATTTTCCAATGATCTGATGGTGATAACCTCATGACCATGGTGTTACTATGACCAAATATGGTGTTATTATGATAAAAAAAGACCAAAATACCCTTACACCTTAACCTTCTTTGTTTTTTCTTTTTGCAATATAACAATTTTAAGTTTTTAACCAAGTGGAATAATGTTGGTATATGCAGGCCAGACGTATAGGTTCAGGATATCAAATGTGGGCTTAAATATGACTTTGAATTTTAGGATTCAAAACCACAAAATGAAGCTAGTTGAGACTGAAGGGTCCTATACAAGCCAAATCATGTTGGATTCTTTGGATGTGCATGTTGGCCAATCCTACTCAGTACTAGTCACTGCCGACCAAAATGCTGGGAACTATTTCATGGTTGCCTCACCTAGACTGGTGACTACCGCAGATAACCCTAACTTGATGGGCATTGCTGTGCTACACTATGACAGTAGCACCACTGCTCCAATTGGCTCTTTGCCTGTAGGGCCTGACCAACTTGATCAAGAATTCTCAGTAAACCAAGCCAGATCCATCAGGTAGTTCTATTTTCCTTCATCACTTTCATATTTACTGGCTAATACCTAGGGTTTTTGAGTAGTCGAGTTAGATGAAAAAACATTGGTTTGGGTAAAAACCCAAACTACCAATATGCTTTGCTGCAAACGGGTCAAAGAAACTGGTTTTGCCGGCAAATACCTGAATTCAAGGGGTAAAAACCCGTTTTTACCAAAAACTAGTCAAAACTGATATCTAAATAGATTTTCTTTAAGTAGACATACCTCTAAGTACTGATTATTGCCTCGGCTAGTTTGGTTCAAAGTAAAAACTGAGTTTTACGATAACCAGTCAAAACTAATATTTGATCAATTTTAGCTTATCGGATTAGCCGGTTTTAAACAATTCGACCAACATAATGAAGTTGGGTAGATTTTTTTTAATATATATTTTATTTTAAATTACTATAGTTATTTTTCTTTAATTTTTTTCTAAAATAAATTCTAACTAGTTTGACCAGTGGTTAAATGGTTTTGAATTAACCAAACCCCACACCAGTTCGATGGCCAATCCAATCCTGATAAAACTGATTAGGGGTGTGGTTTTACCAAAATTCCATATGGCTGTGCCTTTACCAAAATCCCACAGGTTTTGATCTTCCTTTTAGACCATTACACAAGAGTATTTCAGTATCAATTCATTCTACTCTAAAAATTATTCTTAGTGCCCTTCTAAGTTGGTGTGGTCATTTTTCCTTAGAAATTGATGTATTGTTTTAAGACCATCCTCTTCTCTCTTGATGTTAAAAGGACAGTGTTGTTTAGGTTTTAACCATTTCTTTGCTTGTAGGTGGAACATGACCACAGGAGCAGCTAGACCCAACCCTCAAGGCACATTCAATGTAACCAACGTGACCATAAATCAAACTTTCATACTCCATAGCTTCCCAGTTGAGATAGAAGGCAATACTCGCTTCACTGTAAACAACATCTCCTACCTAACACCCACCACACCACTCAAGTTGGCGGACCACGCTCTCAATGGTTCAGGGGTCTATATACTTGATGCCTTCCCCACCAATGCAGTTAGCCCTGTTGCTGCCATTAACACATCTGTTGTCACTGGCATTCATAAAGGATGGATCGAGATCGTTTTCGCTAACAATGCGCCACTTGTAGACACTTGGCACTTGGATGGTTTCGGATTCTACGTCGTGGGGTGAGTAGCGACAGAGAATATTTGTGTGCATGCATGTGTTAGAGAGAAAGTGAGAGAAAGAGAGAGGATTCGATGTCATCTAGGGGCTTTGGGGTTGTTATTTACTTAGAAAAATAAACAATTATCTATAAGACTATTTACTTTTGGCACAAAGAAGTCACATTCATCATTGGCTGTTGGATGTGAAATTGGGCAGCTGGGAGTGAGACTGACCAGTCTCAAAGTTTCAAAGGAAAATTTTCAGATTTTGTGACAAACATTAAGTTGTCTGATTTCACATTTAACGATTATTAATGATTATGACTTTATTGTACCAATGATAACAGGTCTTATATAATACAAATTCCTATTTATTCATGGAATGTGAAACAAAAGGTTTCTTCCCACATGTTTATGCTTTGAGAAAGTATTTCTGATCCATATGACTACAGATTTTCAATGGTCTTAAGTCTGTATCACCTTCCAATCCCTAGAATCGGTGACAAAGAGAAAGAGTTGGAATCTCTCTCTAGGGTCCTATCATGTCCTGGTGGGGTAACCTTTCCCAGCATCAATTTCTATCCATTGATGGGATGATCAAGTGACTCGTACTGTAACAAATTTTTGGAAATGTATAATATGATCCATATGATGGGGACTACAAAGGGAGGGCGGGACGTTCAATTGAGTTAATCCCATACTTTAGTGGAATCCCCTCCATCATCACCATCCAATCCACTATTGGAATGGTGATAACCTCATAGACATGGAGTTATTATGATCATATGGATCGACTTATAAGCACTCCAGATTTCATGTGGTTATAATGTGGATCAACGTATGCTTTTCCTTTCATTAATGGATGGTCACACAGAATTCTATGGTGGTGGTGTAGATTTGGAGAAGGGGTGTGGAGCAAAGAATCACGTGCAACTTACAATCTGTTCGATCCGGTGGTGCGCTCAACTGTACAGGTATGTGAGCATCCTTGGTGCCGTACGATCCTCCACGTATGGGTCATATATGGTTTACTCCTTGTACAATATGCTCCCGCACGCTCTTTTTCTAATCTTGATTCGGTGATGATGTGAAGGTTTATCCAGCAGGATGGACGGTGATTTATGCATTTTTAGACAATCCAGGGATGTGGAACCTAAGGTCTCAACGATTACAGAATTGGTTTTTGGGCCAAGAATTGTATATCAGAGTACACAATGATGACCCGAACCCGGCCAAGGAGCGCCCTCCGCCAGATAACCTCCTGACATGCGGTAAGTGCTTTCTTTCTCTGCGTTTCTGTCCTCGGCGGTGGTGACTCAGACTCGGCTGAGTTACGTGGCCTCGTCCATACTATATACCGATGTTCTATATATACTTATATTTACAGTGTTTTAGGACTCAGCCGAGGTAATTCGCACTCGGCCGAGTTACTTGGCTAACTCGGCCACGCCCATACTATGCATTAATTTTTTATATATAATTGTATTTGCAATTTTAGTTTTTTGACTCGGCCGAGTTACTTGGCTAACTCGAGGCAACTCGGGCTCGCCTATACTATGCATTGATTTTCTATATATAATTATATTTGCAATTCTATTCACACTGCATTTAAGTGGCATTAAAAAATTGGAGTTTTTTTTATTTGATTAAAAAACCTTAAAAAATTGGATTTTTTTTATTTTATTAAAAAAAACTACGCACTCACCCAGTTATGCGCAATGGGCAGGACTTGAGGCCTCGACCTCGACCTCTCATAAAGGCGCCTCAACAATTTACCAGTACGTTGCTTGCATAGTGCTATTATACATAGGTATTTCATTATACAAAAACCTTATTTACTTTTATTATTTCTTTTTTTTAGCACGACATGAACTCGCTCGAGTTATTCTGACTCGGACTCGATCGAGTAACTCAACTCGACCAAACTCCGAGTACGATGGTCGAGTCGATTTTTTTAACATTACTCGCTCTTGTTTATGGGTAGTATCAGGGTGTCCATGCAAATCCATTATGGTACCTTTTCTACTCCGCAAGTAAATCAAATGAATGTTCAATAAAAAATGCATATTTGAAAAAAAATCTCACATTAAATAGGATCGAGTTTTTGTAAAGTGAAAAGATTTCATATTGGAGCCTAGTCTATTTGCCAAGTCAGGAGTCTTTTTCAGACTTCAAATCCTAGGGTTGTAACATCTATACCAAACTCCAAGAAAAAAACAAAGAAAGAAAAAAAGAAATTCAGTCGGACTCTCTTAGTGCTTAATAAGAATTAGCATCAAAATATTGAACATGGACAACCAAATTTTTTTGACGATTAGATCTAAGTGTTTCAAAACTCAAAAAAATCATTTTTTATTCGGAAAAATAATTATCTGATGATTCTTAAGTAGATCCCAAAATCTTAAATCTATAGTGTCCTCAAAAAATTCATTTTTTATGAAAAAAATATATATGGTGATTCTCAAATGGATCCCAAAATCTAAAATCTAAAAAGTCCCTCCTAAGCACCTCTTTGGCACATAAGGAGTGATTATATGATATGTTCCGATGGGAGCATCAGCATGTTAAACGTAGTAGTAGAGTGAGAAGATATCTAAAATATCTTTAGAGCTGCTTCAATGGGAGTGTAATATACATCTACTCCTCGGTTAGAAAACATACTTAAAAGGATTTTCAAACTAAAATTTTGGAAGCCATTTAAGAATCACTAAATGATTATTCTCAAAAGAAAAAAAATTGAATTTTAAGCTTTCTAACATGTAAATCTCGCCTTTTAAAATTGGACGGTCTATATCCAATCTTAACCCATTAATTTTTTATTAGTGTATAGAGGGTACAATTAGGAATTTTTTTCTATTGAGGTCAACCTATGGATGGAAGAGGTTTCATCCTAAAATTCGGGGTCCTAAAAATAATCCCAGATGGGGTTGTACCCGAGAGAGTAAATAGACACTACACTCCTATGGAAGCATAATATTTTTTGGCGTATTTTCTGTCACTTACTTCTTAATGTGTTTCTAGAGAAAATGAAAATATCATAGTTATACAATATGAAATCAAGTGACATTTTATTAGTATTATTATCTAAGCATCCTAGTCAGTGAACAAAAATTAAACAAAAAAATGCAGTTTCTCATGCCTTGATAATTTTTGATGCAGGTATACTTGAAGGTGTTGTTTAGATTGCTCTTACCAGTTTTTGCCTGTCCCAAGAAGAAATTTACTGGGCTTGATGCACATTTTTGCGCTATGCATTGGGTGAGAATGAACAGGCAAAATAGAGCTCAGTCAACGTTCTCTTCTTTTCACCATGCAATAATGGTTTTTCACATTCTTGCCTTCATAAATATATTTGTTGTCAAACTTTTAGATCTCCAATCTGTATCACATTTTCTTCAAAGACTCTCCTCTGATTGGCCTTTAATTTTTTTTATAACTTGGAATACATCACATTTTTTTTTACAACTCCACAAGAGTTAGTAATTTTAAGAGTTTTGGAGTTTGTGAAATTCCATTCTTGTCACTTCTTTTATATTGCACTCTCATTCCATGTCTCTTTTACTGGATGGACTGCATAATTTCTTGATGCATTTTGTTGCACTTGCAAAATATAAGAGGAAACATTATCGATATACACTTGCTCTATCAACTAAAAAGGGCCGTAACCAGGTGCCCATCCCACCTAAGCAAGGGCTGGAAACGGTCTTAACCTTTATCAATTATTTAACATTTTGCCTATTTTCAACTATTCCAATTCTTAATGATCTTTTCGAGAATTAATAAAAAATAGATAAAATGTTAAATAATTCAGCTCTTAAATACATTCTTATAAAGTCCTAATTCTAAATATTGTGCAAATTTGTCACCATGATATAAAGAGACTGAAGAACGATAATTATCTGTCATTCAAATGTACAACAACAATGAGACCTACATTTCAACAATTATCTCCCTCTTTCAAATACACGAGCAATAAGACCTACAGACCACTAGAATTGCCTCTTCTAGAGTGACAAAACAAAATAGAGATTGATGCCAAAAAAGCACCCTCTTGAATTAACAAAAAATAATACAAAATATAGCCTCTCGAGTGAGCTTAAAATCGTTAATATCATCTCACGCATAGGCAATTATTCAAAGTAATTGTGCACAACAATATTAAAAAATAAAAATAAAAAATTTTGAGCGTATGAAGTACAAAGTGTGCTTTAAGCTCTCTTGCACCTACGTATACCCACACGTTAGGATGCTTCGCAGAGTTGCAAAACAAGGGAGCCCAAGCTCATTTCTGAGTATTTTCTGATCATGAGAAAACATAAGAGGGAAAGATTTGCGGTTCAATGCAACCACACTGCACTTTTATTTGCCTTCCAAACAGGTAGTGAGGATTTATTTTCAATATGAAACTTTCGGATTGAAAATTTTTCTTAGCAAAAAATAAATTAAAAAATTATATATATATATATATATATATATTATTCGGGCGAGCCCAATATATATTGGCATCAATCAATCATTTGGGATGGTGCCTTGGTTAATGGCACATTATGTTCTTCATAAATATTACCTTCCCAAATTCCATCCCTATTTTGAACTACTCAAAAGAGGACAATCCGTGTAGTTTTGGCTAGGGAACAAATAGATTTGATGATCCCATGAGACCACCAGATTTATTTAAATATTGAAATAGCGAGAGAGTATTTATTTGTAATACAAAGAGAACATAATCATACCTTAACTGACCCGAGACTCGACAGTCGGGTCTGGGTATGGGTCCAAAAATTAGACCCGACGGATCATGTCAGGGTCCAAATTTGGACCCGAATACTATTCGGGTTAGTATTCGGGTCCAGGTCCATATGAACTCGACCCGAATAGTATTAATATTTAATACACAATATTTCAATAGTATTTAAATAAATACATCTATATATAACTATATGTTTTAGTTATAATATTTAAATACTACTTGCATAAATTTAATATAATATTTTAATATGTATTTTTTATGGTCCAATCTCGTCCGATCATGTCCAAGTCTGGAACCGCACCCGATCCTTTGCCACCCCTAACTCGATAGATAGACTGCGCCACTTAGCGAGCAAAGCTAACCATTATTTTTTATTTATTTAACCAAAAAGATTTTACCCGCATGAGGGATCATACTGTGCATTTATTCATTAGGACAAAACCCAATCTGGGAGTATTTTTAGGACCTCAAATTTGGGGAATGTAACATCCTCAACTCACATGATATACTCAACTGAAAATTTTCAAATTGTATTTTTTATGGGCTTAAAAAACAATGCCTCCAGATTGAATGGAAACCCTCTAATTTTGAAGGGTGAGAACTAAGTATGGAAAAATTCAAAATTCAAAATTTTCTTTTAAAAAAAATCATCTCAGGGCGCTTGGCAATTGGAATGTGGAATTAAAAGTAGGGATTCCGAATCTAAAATCTAGAAGGCATAAAATTGAGTATATGGTAATGGAAAATACTTTGTTTGGTTAAATAGTGTAGAATTATGGGGATTTTGGAACCTATACTTGATTTAAGCTGAAATTTCATAAATTAGGAGATTTGAAAATTAGCCAATTTCAACCAACTGTTAAAATTTTCATTGATAAAATGGTAGTGTTTATTAAATGAATGATTTCTCATAATAATACCCATCCATGGTAGGTCTAGTGAATTGGACACTACTTATTACAATTTTTTTTGGGATAAGGTTAGAAAAAATCCAGCTTTCATTCTATTTTTCTATACTTCTAATTAAGCTAAAATCTTCTGATTCCATACTTTTTAGTTTTTACCATCAACCACCTATATAAAATATAGAAAAATAATTTGAAAGAAGTAATTTTGAGGTGGTTGCCGATGCAATATCTATATGGCCTAGGCTTTATGAAAAAACAATAAAACCTCACCTTGAGTCCTCATTCGAAAGCACTTTAGGCATCAGAAATCTCATAACGGTTCTAAAATCAATTTTCAATACCAAAGTTGAAATTTGAAGCATCAAAAAATACAAAAGATTGTAAAGATCTAGTAGCACTCATTTTTTAGTGCGAAAGGATGGCTCATTATTAGCACTTGAAATCTTAATTTTTTTTCAACCAGATGATGGATTTGAAGGTTTTGCATTGCCAAAAGGGCAATCTTTGGTGAGTTTTGACGTAAGGCTTTACTTAATTTTGAAATGGTGGCGCCCTACCGAAACATTTTCTTTCCTAAAATTTTGGACAAAAAGATATTTACACGTTGGTCTTGTGCCCTGGGGATTAAGTATACAGTATGATGCGCTCTTAATTGAAAAGTTAAAAATGTCATTTCGCTTGGCTTCTAATTCAATAACCGGCAACAAGGGATTGAATGCAGTCGGAATTTGAAGAAGAGTTTGAATTCTTCAGAAAAGCCCGCCAATTCGAGCTACGAGGCTCTCTCTCTCTCTCTCTCTCTCTCTCTCTCTCTCGTCGTCGTCGTCGTCGTCGTCGTACGTACGTACGGTACGTCGTACGTCGTACGTACGTACGTTACGTACGTACGTACGTACGTACGTACGTACGTACGTACGTACGTACGTACGTACGT